TATATATGTAAATATGTATATAAGTATATACATTATGTGCCACATATATATTGTGTGCCTACAAGCATTAAATTTTACCTGGAAAGATACAGTTCCTAGTTTTAGCCATTTGATATGATTTAGTATTAGGAAGGACTCTATTATTAAAAGTATCAGTGAGTCCATTAACTTTTGTGTCATCAACAAATTTAATCGGCATCAAGTTTAAGTATTCACTGAAATAATTCTTTAGAAGAGTAAAAATGGTTGGATAAAGAAATAATGTCACATGCCAATCACATTTTCTTACGTGTTGGTATTGGCTTATTAACGTCATATTAGTTCCATTTGTTTAGGTGAAATAGTTGTCTTCTATTTTATACATTCTTTACAGATACATCCTTATGCACACAGAGCCTGTTGTCTTTACACAAGAGATGTGTATATGAAAAACTTCAAGTAAATTAAACACATCCACTAATTCAACAGAAATCAATTTAAAAGGATTTCTGTAATGAAAAAATGTACCAATGATACTTTAGTAATGCTATGTCATCATAAATGTTATATTGTTATGTAACTTTAATGAGCTAGAACTACAAAATCAAAACACAGGAGCTGAGGGGCTGGGTAGGTGGCTCAGTGGTAGAGTGCTTGCCTTGCATGCGTGAGGCCCTGGGTTCAATTCCTCAGCACCACATAAGCAAAAAAAAAAAAAAAAAAAAAAGCCAGAAGTGGCGCTGTGGCTCAAGTGGTAGAATGCTAGACTTGAGCTGAAGAGCTGAGGGACAGTGCCCATGCCCAGAGTTCAGGCCCCAGGACCGGACCCAAAAAAACAAAACAAAACAAAACAAAAAACACAGGAGCTGAACATTGTGGACAGAAAAGTGAACTAAGCCTGGTCTCCATGGGAAGACCAAAGGGAAATCATTTAATTGTTTAGTGTAGGCCTAAATCTTAGCACAAGTTTAACCTTGTTAATTTGTACAGGAATTGAAAAGATTAAAAAAAATGGCATCTGTTAAATAGATGTTGTTAAGTAAAGCTTAAACTTTTCTAGCGAAGGATAAACAAAATTAAGGCAAGAGTCCTCTGGTTAAAGAGAAAGAATAGAAGTATATGTAAGTTGTATGATGTTTTAACCTGTAAAAGCAGGAAGTACTCCACAGAACACAGTTCTGATTTACACTCTTAAAGAGGAGTATTCTAGATCCTGTGTATGCTGCGGTGGGGTTTCCTGTAACCATCTGCTACCCTTCTAGATACTAGGTTTTTCAGACTTTTAGGGCATACACATTCTACCAGAAAGGAACTAAGTGATCACAGATGGAAAGTGGAAAAGGGGCCTTACTGTAATAGTGGGGAGGCAGGAGCTGTTGAATCAAAGGGAACACATTGTTAGCATTCCAGGAAGGGAAAGGACCAGATAATGCATGGAAGGGGGGGGGGGGGCGGGAACTAACAAGATAAAATTCAGAAAGCATAAACAAAGATTTCTCAGCTATTCTTAGAAATCACAGTGGTAGTGGCAGTAATCTGGGATTATTTCAGTACTGTCAACTTTTTATCTGTATCTACTAGTATGCTGAATGCCAGCACAAGTTCCCTGAAGCAGAACACAGTATTGCCATGGCTTACACGCGGCAAGTAAACACTGTCATTCTGACTCTTCCCATCTCTTATTTTGGGACTGCACAGATCACTATGCAGTCAGTCTCAAACTAAATGCTAAAGCTTGTCTTTTAACCTAGGTCCTACATTTCTGTAATATTTGCTCAGTAAGCTCTACCTTCAAAAATCTATAATGATATTTTACCTTTAATTCCACCTATGTAATATATATGGCACAAAATAATGAGAAACTGAATTAAACCAAAGTATTGCACTACCCAATCTTATTGAAACCAGAGAATCAAGCCTCCAACATCAACATTTTTTAATGGCAACTTCAAGAACAGAAATACTCGGACAGCACAGCAAACTGGGCAAACGTCCAGGAGATCAAAATAGCTCTCCAGGACCCCCATGCCATCTTGTATAGATTTTGACCCAGATCAGCATATAAGATTAATTGGAATTACAGCGGCAGTCTATTTTCCCCACCACACACAATTTTTCTTAAGCACTTCCATATTTACAGCATCTGGTGCACTGACCAGAGATCACCGAGAAGTCCAGACTTCATTTGGCTCAAGGACCTGGATATGTGCTAGGTATCACAGTACAGGTTTTAACAGCCACTGGGTTCTAGATGTTACTATGCTGTATTTACTCCAGGACAACATAATGTTTCTCCCTTAGCTGTAGAATTTTGATGCATGTTTGATGAGGAGCACAAATAAACGTTTCATCCGTGATACTTGAGGCCATTAGTGAAAGGCTAACTATTGTGTTCTCCTTAGTGGGCATCTTTAGCGTGGCTTCTAGCACTCATGGCAACTTTCATAGTGACTTTCAGCTCCTTCCTGCCCTGCTGACTGACAGGATCTCCCACTGTCTAAAGTAGTCTGTTAGTCCAGTCATTTAAGCTTTGCTAATTCCCACCAGTCTCCTTAAAGAGAGCTCCCTCTAGTGTTTATTTCTTCTTTCAATATGGACCCAAAGAAACGTAGGTTGCATGGTTTCCCTCAATTGTGGCAACTATAAATTTACAAGTAAACACACTAGATGGGACATGATAAACTATACAGGTCTCTATGCATTCACACAGAGTGAGACCAAAGGAGGATGTTCTTAGGAGAGGTACACAAAGGCACGATACCTATGTGCATATGGTCATATAAAATAACATCTATCGAAATGAACTCCAGGAAAAGGAAACAAGAGGGTTTTTTCCCTTTTCTTCACTGCTGTTTTTGTTTCCTTTTGTCTTGTTTGTTCATTTATCTGTCTTGGAGAGGGTAAGGGAAGGGGACAGAAATGGAGGGACAAAGGGTAACCAAATGCAGAAGTGATACTCACTAGACACTATATCGAAAATGAACTATACAACTTGTGGGTGGGGACAGGAGGGAAAAATTGGGAGAGAGTGAGAGAAGAGGGGACATTGTTCAAAAAGAAATTTTTTATCTGACTTAGCTAACTGCAACCACTCTGTACACACCATCTTTAAAATAACAATAAATAATTTTTTAAAAAAAGAACATATATTTTTTTTTCTGATGTAGTTACTTTTCCCTTCTACCTCCCAGCCTCCTAAAGTCTAGTACCAAATATCCCTACAGAATATTGAGGCAGAAGGGAAAACTGATCAAATCACAACGTGGATATTAGCAAAAATGATTGAAGAAAATGATTTTAAAAAATGATTTGCACTCATAAAAAATCTAGAGTTAAAGATTCTCCTTTGGCATATGATACCAAATACAGCTGTGCTTGGGTGTGTCATATTCTAGAGAGCAGTTCTCAGTAGCAGTACTTTCTATTCATTATATCACATTCAGACCCATCTCCCTCAAAGGTGGTCTTCTAAGGCCCTTACATTAATTCCACTCACGTTCATGTATTCTATATTTGAAGGCGATCAAGCCGTGGCAGATAGCAGAAATCTGTTTTACATTGTATCTAGGTAGATGTGTAGCAACACACTGCTCTGATTTATGCCCAGAAAGAATGCAAAACAAGTATTACTCATCTTTATCTAGTTACGATTCACTACTAGTAGTTAACTCATAGGAAAATGACCAGAGTGGTAAGAACTGAACTGCAGTGGACTACCCACTACCCACTACAGTTAAAACACTCGGAGGCACCATACCACTTTATTATACCATGAATCTTATGGATTAGTTTGTACATCATTAATTTACCTTCTCTGCAGAAAACAGTACCATCTTTTTTTTTTTTTTAAAGTAAAACACCAGCTAAGGTTAGCATCAGACCTGTGAGAGAGACCTAAGATTATTATTCTCTAGCTCAGAGGCTCTAACACGGAGGTCACATGATTATGTCCCTCCACAGAAATGTAATTCACTTGAAAGTCCCTTTCTATCTCTTACAATTCCTCTCATTTCCATTTATTACCTATTTTGACACACACTTTTTTTCTGTATAATTAGACTTTGTGGCTCAATGCATGTATTGGAAACCCACAGGGCCAGTAAACACAACAGCCATGTAAGTACTTCTACTCGGTAGGTATTACAGGGTTAGAGATAAAGACTCTCAGGATACTTGGCTGTGTTTAGGGTAAGGCCTAAACAGACAAAATTAAGTGTGCCATTTAAAGCCTTTTGGTTGATGCACCATGGATCTTTGTGGTAGTCCTAAGTGTGAGGTGTGATGCTAGAGTTTCACAACCTCGTCCCCCTCACCTGCCAACCTCGCCATGCAGCAGAGTGATGGCCAAATGTGAGGGAAAAAAAAAGAGTAAGGAACAAAACAAAGAATGGGCATTGTTAAATTTGACGAGATTGATATTTTGTATTTAGTAAATTGGTAACACTTTAAGACAACACATGAGGCAAAATGAAAAAAAAGTTCCATGAAATGGAAAGACACGTATTCCTGTACTTGCTTCCTTCGTAGTCCCTTTATTCCTACCTCCCAGTCCTAGAAACCTTACCAGCAGACTCTTGGAATCTTGCTTCCTTTCGTGGTCATTTAACTCACCCTTGAACCGCTGAGTTGTTTCCAAAGAAGTTGCTTTGCAAACAAATCTTGCAGGAAGCATAAAATTTTCTAGTAATAGTTTCATGCTTTTTCTCTTATCATACTCTCTGTTTTATCAACTAAATACATCTTGCTAAACAAATCATTCCCAAGATAAGGACGCATTCCCTTTACTGGGGAGGGTCCTGGAGGGGTTTTAGTGCCAGTTATATATTCAAAAAGAGAAGGTCAGAGTGGATTAATCAATATTCTGAAACCCATTTTATGACTGTCTTTTTTATACAAGATGCTTGCTGAATTTTCCCAACTGTGACTCCACACTCATATTATAAATCATCGTTCTCGTAAGTAAACTAAGCATTCTCCTACAGGAACGAGGGAAGAGCCCTCTTGGAAGTCTGGATACACACCCAAAGCTGCCACTTTGATGATCACGGCTTGAATATCAGATTCGATCATCTCTCGGAGCAACTCCTCCTGGTTCCTCTGCCAAAGGTAAGCCAAAGGCTGAAGACTTAGCCTTTTGCATCTATCAGGTAAAAGGGAAAAAAAAATCAGATCATACCTTAAGTGTTCCATACTTAGATCCATAGCAATCACATTGGATTTTAAACATAACACTTCTTTCAAGGATTTTAGCAGTTAAAATGCTTTAAAAGCATGTCTTGCATAATTATAGCAAGTTCCATGGGTACCTAAACTGAAAAATAATTAGAAAAAATACATATATCCTAATGACCATGTATTGTAACACCTGTACACTATGAGCTAATTTTATCTACTAACTTTAAAACTTTTTTTTTTTTTTGGGTTCGGTCGTGGGGCTTGAACTCTGGGTTTGGGCACTGTCCCTCAGCTCTTCAGCTCAAGGCTAGTGCTCTACCACTTGAGCCAAAGCTCCACTTCCGGCTTTTTTTCTTTTTGCTTATGTGATGCTAAGGAATCGAACCCAGAGCCTCAGGCATGCAAGGCAAGTGCTCTACCACTGAGCCACCTTCCCAGCTTTAAAACTTTTTGTGAGAATTTGATTCTGAGGAACAAATGTAATTAAGTGAGCACCTAACATACTGTACTAGAGACTTTGTATTTTAAGTACAGGAGAAAGAGTATAGGTTTTAAAGTCAAGACAAATCTAGGTTTGAAATGTTAGTCTACAAGCTAGCTACAGTACTTTTAACAAGTCAAGCAGACTGTATGTTCTTGTCCTCAGTGTCCTAGCTCATTTAGCTCAGACACTGAACAGGAAGTTCTTGATAAGATTAAACAAAATAAGAAAATGAAGCTCTGATTTGCTCTTTTTTTTTTTTTTAAGTTCTGGTCTTGGGACTGGTCCTGGAATTCAGGGCCTGAGAGCTGCCCCTGATCCTCCAGCCGCTTTGTGCTCAAGGCGAGGCTCTACCACTTGAGCCATGGTGCCACTTCCCGGCTTTTTCTATAATGTTATTGGAGATAAGTGTCACAGACTTTCCTGCCTAGGATGGCTTCAAACCAATATCCTCAGATCCCTGCCTCCTGAGTAGTTAGGGCCACAGGTGTGAGCTCGAGTGCCCAGATCCATGATTTGCTCTTGCTGTTTTACATTCCACAGAAAATGATTAATCCTTGCTAGTACCACTGCTGACAGCCATGTTGAAGGCTACCAATGTCTCCTGTGGCAACAGCCTAATTTCTCACCAAGCTTCCACCCTTGCCTTTTTTTTTTCTTTTTTTTTTTTTTTTTTTTTTATTGTAAAGCTACTATACAGAGGGTCACAGTTACATGAGTGAGGTTATGAGTACACTTCCTCTTGAACATTGTTACCCCCTCCATTGTTTTCCCCCTACCATCCCCTCCCTCCCTCCCTTCCCCGAGGTTCTTTTTTTTTTTTTTTTTTTGATTGTGATTAAATGATTACATAATTTCAAAGTCACAAGTTCATTCTAACTTCCCTGGAGCAAATTGTCTACCACAGTCTGTAATATATAACAGTGTTCACATGTTATATACCATATTTGTGATCAGCGGCATGAGGATATTTAGTAGTGGTTCAACCAGATGAGCGGGAGTTCTTTGTTTCTTAAGTCCTGTTAGTTTTGTCGTATCACTAACCTTTTGGATTTAGCATCCACTTATGAGGGAGACCATGTACCGTTTGTCTCTTCGTTCTTGGCTTACCTCGCTCAACATGATTCCTTCTAGCTCCATCCATTTCCCTGCAAATGCCATTATTTTGTCATTTCTAATGGCTGCATAATATTCCATTGTGTATAGATACCACAATTTTTGGATCCATTCATCTGTGGTGGGGCACCTAGGTTGTTTCCATATCCTAGCTATTGCGAACAGTGCTGCAATAAACATGGAGGTGCACGTGTCCTTGTATATTGGTTCCTGTTGTTCAGGGTAGATGCCTAGAAGTGGTATGACTGGGTCGTAAGGGAGGTCAATCTTTAGCTTTCTAAGGACCCTCCAGACTGCTTTCCAAAGTGGTTGTATAAGTGTACATTCCCACCAGCAGTGTAATAGGGTTCCTCTTTCTCCACATCCCCTCCAGCATTTGTCGTTGGCTGATTTGTGGATGTGGGACATTCTGACTGGGGTAAGGTGGTATCTCAGGGTTGTCTTTATTTGCATTTCCTTCACCACCAGGGATGATGAACATTTCCTCATGTGTTTCTTTGCCATTTTTATTTCTTCATTTGAGAAGTCCCTCTTTAGTTCCCTTGCCCATTTAGTAATTGGTTTGTTAGGTTTGGGAGGGATTAGTTTCTTGAGTTCCCTGTATATACAGGATGTTAACCCCTTGTCTGATATATTACTGGTAAATATTTTTTCCCAATTAGTTGGTTGTCTTTCTAGCTTAGTTGCGATAGATTTAACTGTGCAGAAGCTTTTTATTTTAAGGTAGTCCCATTTGTCGAGTCTCTCTCCAACTTGTTGTGACCCTGGGACTCTGTTCAGGAAGTTCCTTCCTGTGCCTATTAGTTCAAGTGTCTCTCCTACTCTGTCCTGCAGTAGTTTCAGAGATTCAGGTTTAATGTTAAGGTCTTTAATCCATTTTGAGTTGATGTTGGTGCATGGTGATAGGCTGGGGTCCACTTTTAGTTTTCTGCATGTGGCTGCCCAGTTTTCCCAGCACCAGCGGTTGAAGAGGCTGTGTTTCTTCCATTGTATGTCTTTGGCTCCTTTGTCGAATATCAGCTGGCTGTAGGCCTGTGGATTTATATCTGGATCTTCTATTCTGTTCCATTGGTCTTCGGGTCTGTTTTTGTGCCAGTACCATGCTGTCTTTGTGATTATAGCTCTGTAGTAGAGTTTGAAGTTCGGCATGGATAGCCCTCCCATATTGTCTTTATCCCCTAGAATTGTTTTGGCTATTCTAGGTCTTTTGTTGTTCCATATAAATTTTTGGACTGTTTTCTGTATTTCAGTGATGTACGTCATTGGGATTTTAATAGGAATTGCATTGAATTTGTATATTAATTTTGGAAGTATCACCATCTTTACTATATTAAGTCGGCCTATCCAGGAGCATGGGAGGTCTTTCCATTTCCTAGTGTCTTCTGCAATTTCTTTCTTTAACTTTTTATAGTTCTCATTAAATAGTTCTTTTACATCTTTGGTTAGGTTAATTCCTAAATATTTTATTTTTTGGGAGGTTATTGTGAATGGGGTTGCTCCCTTTATTTCCCTCTCTTCCTGTGCGTTATCAGTGTATAGGAAGGCAACTGATTTTTGTGGGTTTATTTTGTATCCTGCTATTTTGCCGAAGTGACTTATGATTTCTAAAAGTTTGGGGATGGAGTTTTTGGGATCGTGGAGGTATAGTATCATGTCGTCTGCAAAAAGGGATAGTTTCACTTCTTCTTTCCCTATGCGGATCCCTTTAATGTCTTTTTCTTGCCTTATTGCCCTGGCTAAGGGTTCTAGGACTATGTTGAAGAGGAGTGGAGACAGTGGACATCCTTGCCTTGTTCCTGTTTTTAGGAGGATTGGTTGTAGCTTTTCCCCATTAAGTATAATATTGGCTATTGGTCTGTCATAAATGGCTTTTATTGTTTTTAGAAATGTTCCTTCTATTCCTATTTTCTCCAGAGCTTTTAGCATGAATGAATGTTGAATTTTATCAAAGGCCTTTTCTGCATCTGTGGCGATAATCATGTGATTCTTGACCTTGGCTCTGTTGATATGCTGGATTACATTTATTGACTTACGTATGTTAAACCATCCCTGTGTCTCTGGGATGAAGCCTACCTGATCATAGTGTATTATTTTTTTTATGTGTTTCTGGATTCTGTTAGCTAGAATCTTGTTAAGGATCTTTGCATCTGTGTTCATCAAGGAGATTGGCCTGTAATTCTCCTTTTTGGTTGGGTCTTTGCCTGGTTTGGGGATGAGTGTGATATTGGCTTCGTAGAATGAGTTTGGGATAGCTCCCTCCTTCTCTGTTTCTCTGAAGAGCTTGAGGAGTATGGGTATTAGTTCTTCTTTAAAGGTCTTATAGAATTCTGCTGTGAATCCATCTGGTCCTGGGCTTTTTTTTGTTGGAAGACTTTTGATAGCTTCCTGTATCTCATTATAGGATATTGGCTTATTTAATTGGTTAACTTCTTCTTTGCTCAGTTTGGGTAACTTGTATTTCTCTAAAAATGCATCCATTTCCGCCAGATTTTCTTCCTTTAGAGAGTATAGCTTTTGAAAGTAGTCTGTTAGAATTGTTTGGATATCTTGGGTACGTGTTGTGATGTTTCCCGTGGCATCCCTAATCCTATTAATATGGGTTTCCTCTCTTCTTTTTTTAATTAATCTTGCCAACGGGCCATCAATTTTGTTTATTTTTTCAAAGAACCAGCTTTTTGTTTGGTTTATTTTGGTTATGGTTTTCTGATTTTCTAATTGGTTAATCTCTGCTCTCAATTTGGTTATCTGGCTTCGTCTAGTAGCTTTAGGTCCCATTTTTTCTTGTTTTTCTAGCTGTTTTAGTTGCAACATGAGATTATTTACTTGGTCTGTCTCCATTCTCTTGATGTGGGCACTGAGGGCAATAAATTTGCCCCTCAGGACTGCTTTTGCTGTGTCCCACAAGTTTCTTTGTGAGGTGTTTTCATTTTCATTGAGTTCTAGGAAATGCTTTATTTCTTCTCTGATCTCTTCTGTTACCCAGGCCTTGTTAAGGAGTGTGCTGTTCAATTTCCATGTATTAGAGAAATTTCTGCGGTATGCTTTGTTATTGAGAGCTAGCTTGATTCCACTGTGGTCAGATAGGATACAGGGGATTATGTCGATCCCTTTGTATTTGCTTAAGTTCCTTGAATGAACTATGATATGGTCTATTTTGGAGAAAGTTCCATGAGCTGCTGAGAAGAATGTGTACTGTGTTGTTTTAGGGTGAAATACTCGGTAGATGTCAGTTAATTCCGCTTGAAGTATGGCCTCACTTAATTCGGTAGCTTCTTTGCCAATCCTCTGGTTGGTAGACCTGTCCTTTGGTGAGAGTGGCGTGTTAAAGTCTCCTAGTATTATCGTATTGGGATCTATTTTATTCTGTAAGTTTGAGAGCATTTGTTTAACATATCTGGGTGCACCGATATTTGGGGCATATAAGTTGATGATGGTTATATCCTCCTCTTGGATTGTTCCCTTTATTAATATGTAATGTCCGTCCTTGTCTTTCTGTACTGATTTTAATGAAAAGTTTATTTTGTCAGATATCAGGATAGCTACACCTGCTTTCTTATTGGGGGAATTTGATTGGTAGATCCTTTTCCACCCCTTCACTCTGAGTTTGTTTGTATGTTTGGCTGAGAGGTGGGTCTCCTGAAGGCAACAGATGGATGGGTCTTGTTTTCTGATCCAGTCCTCAGTTCGTTTTCTTTTAATTGGCGAATTCAGCCCATTTATATTAAGAGAAAGTATAGAGAGATGCATTGTTGTCCCTGCCATTCCGTTTTCCTAAGTTTTTCTTCTTTCCTTTCCTCCTGTGCTTGCTCAGTTAGACTTTGAGTAATGCCTGTTTGGGGCAGGTCCCAGTTCCTGGTTGCTTTCTTCAGGTTGTGTCCCCCCTCTTAGAATTCTTTGTAATGCTGGCTTAATGTTTATGTATTCATTTAGTTTTTCTTTGCTATTAAAAGTTTTCAGTTCTCCATCGAATGTGAATGCTAGCTTTGCCGGGTATATCAGTCTGGGTTGGCAGTTATTGGCTCTCAGGGCTCGTATGGTGCTTTCCCAGGCTTTTCTTGCATTCATTGTTTGTGTGGAGAGATCTGCAGTGATTCTAATTTTTTTCCCGTTGTAGTATAGCTCCTTCTTCATTTTTGCTGCATGCAGGATTGTTTCCTTATTATTCAGATCCATCATTGTTACTATTATGTGCCTAGAAGTGTTTCTCCTGGGATCTTGCTTGTTGGGTGTTCGATAAGCTTTTGTGATGTAGTTAAGATGGTCGTTTTTGAGGTGGGGAAAATTTTCATTGACTATCTTGTTAAATAGGTGTTGCATTCCCTTGCTCTGGAATTCCTCACCTTCGTCCACTCCGATTATGCGAAGGTTAAATTTTTTAGCATTATCTGCTTGCTCTTGAATTTCCCTTTGGTTTAATTTGAGTGATTTTTCCATATCTGTCACTTTTTGGTCCAGTTGGTGTATTCTGTCTTCTGTATCTGACACTCTACCTTCCATTTCATTCACTCTGTTGACCGTGGCTTCTATTGTGGTTTGCATGATGGAAATGGATCCCTTTATGGATTCAATGTTGGTTCTCAGAGTACTGATCTCACCTCTCAATGAGGTGATATCAGTATGCATTACCTCTAATTTGGCGTTTATCTCACTTCTTACTGAGGTTTGTGCAGCTTCTATTTTTGCATCCAATTTTTGTTTGATATCCTGTATATCTTTTGATAGTTCATCCTTGTGCTCTTTCAATTTCTGATCCATTTCTCGCTTTATTTCTTGAGTCATTGCCTCCAGCAACCCTTGGATGTAGTTTTTGTCTTCCATTCCTGCTTTGCTCCCACTGGGGCTCTCCCCTGCGTGGCTGCTGGCTTTTGAGGTGAGCTTGCTGTCCTGGGTAGTGGTAAACCTTGTGATTTTTCTCTGTGATTTTCGCATGGGGGTTCAGGAGACTGGCTCTTCAATCTTGTTTTGGTGTGTCTGTCTTTGCTTGGTTGCTGATTCTCTATTGGTAGAGAGAGTGTGTCTGATCTGGATTCTGTTGGGAGCCTATTTCCAGCTGCTATTCACTTAGGATTCTCAGCTCTCTGCTGTAGCAATTCCCGCCTTTGGAAGGGTTGAGCAGCCTAGACTGCTTGTGTTTGCTCCTGCGGGTGCTCTTGGGAAGATCAGATGCTCTGGATGCACTCTCCCAAATACTGGAGTCTGCTATGGGCTCTTGATGTGTTTTTGTTTGTTTTGGGCTGGTTGTGGGCTTGAACTCTAGGTTTGGGTGCTGTCCCTCAGCTCTTCAGCTCAGGGCTGGCACCCTACCATTTGAGCCACAGCCCCACTTCTGACCCTTTTTGCTTTGTTCAGGCGCCGGTCCCCTGGCCTGGTTCCGGCCCCAGCCTGGAGCGCGCTCGTTAGGCCTGTGCTAATGTGTATACCACCTTGGTTATGCAGCCTGGAGGACACAGTTCAAATTTCTTCTACTGTTGGTAGTCTTGACCCAGGGGCACTGTTCCTGGCTTGAGCATTTAAGCTCCCTTCCCGGGGCGCTCTTGCTCTGGCCTGGCCAGCAGAGTGTGCTCCACCGGCTGGTGGGGCTCTCGAACAGTTCCCAGTTTTAGTGGGTCCTGTGGTCCAGGTGTTGGGGTAGGGAGTCTAGGTCAGGGTCTGGGGATTCCCTCCAGCTCTGGTCTCCCTTGATGGATTCCCTGTCCCCTGATGGGTACTCACCCTGTAGGTCGTCAGTTGTTGTTGCAGTCCGTCAGTTGTTGTTGCTGTCCGAGTTCAGTTGGGGTGGTTGCGGGCTGGGTTGGGCGGCCCCCCGCCGGGTCGTTGCGATCGCGACAGGTCCCTTTATGGCGCTGCTGGTGCCGGGCGGCTTTGGCGGGATGGAGCCTCTCCGCTCCGGTGGAGAGTGATGGGTGGGGTGGGATCCTCCTGGAGACTCCCGGCTGGTAGGTTTCTCTGTTCCTGGCGATCCGCTGTTCTGCAATCCGGTACCTGGTGATCTGCAAGCAGCCCCCTGTGTCTCTGTGGCTCCGGCAGCCCCTGCCGGGCCGGCTGGCCGGCGGCTTGGCGCACTGCCGCGCGGCCAGTAAAGGTTGGGGGAGGGGTCTTCGCTCTTCTCTGTTCTGAAATTCTTCTTTTCCTCTCTTTCTTTTTTTGTTATTTTCCACCTCTGGTTTTTCTCTGAGTGTTCGTCTTTTTGTTGTTGTCGGTCTCTTGGGGAGATTAAAGGTTGGAACTCGAACTCTCTTTTTGGTTGGAGAGAGCTGTGGCGTTTCCCTACTGCCCCGTCGCCATCTTGAGAACCGTCTCCCCACCCTTGCCTTTTAAAAATTTGCTTTCAATACAGAGGACAAGGTGATTCTTTTAAAACATAGATCATGAGACTCCTCTGTTCAAACCCCTCCAGTGGCACTCTATCTCTTCAGTTTAAATTCATGAAATGTATCTCCTCAATGTTTTATAATTTCCACTCTAGAGAGTTTTCATCTTTATATTTATTCCTAAAGGTTCACTTCTAATGAGATTGCATTCTTGATAATTGGCCATTGGCATATACCATGCTACCGGTTTCTGTATGGATCTTTTCCAAAGGAAGTGAAACCAGAATGCTGAAGAGCTGGCTGCACTCCTGTGTTCACTGTAACACTGTTCAAAGTACCTGAGAAACAGAAATGACCCAACTGTCCGTCAACGGATGGACAGATGAGAAAGCATGATCCACAAACACCATGTGATACTCTTCAGCTGTAAAAGTGAATGAAAGCCAGTCCTTCATGACAACATGAATGATATGATTGGACCTGTTAATACCAAGTCGTTATTGTTATTATATTTGTGTTTGTTTTGTTTGGCTGATATCAGGGCTTTAACTCAGAAGCCTTGTGCTGGCTCAGGTTGCTGGCTCATAGCTAGTGCTCTATCACTTGAGCTACATTCCAACCTTGCTTTTGGCTGGTTAATCAGAGATGAGTCTCATGGACTTTTTGGCTTGGGCTGGCTTCAAACTGCAGCCCATCAGGTCTCAGAATTACAAGTAGGGTTGTGAGTCATTGACACTTACTGTACAGTACTTTATTCATACAAATAAATTCATTTAAATTTTGCTTTGCTAAATGAACATTAAATAGTATTACCATTTAACTTTATGAATTTTAAATACATCAGTGTGACAAAGTATTTTGGTACCTGCAGGTACAAACTGAAATGTTTTACTAGTGCATACCTTGAAAAGGTCATAGGGTTTTGAGGGGAGCAATGGTCTATTTTTTTTTTTTTTGGGTCCGGTCGTGGGGCCTGAACTCTGGGCCTGGGCGCTGTCCCTCAGCTCTTCAGCTCAAGGCTAGCGCTCTACCACTTGAGCCACAGCGCCACTTCCGGCTTTTTTCTGTTTGCTTATGTGGTGCTGAGGAATCGAACCCAGGGCCTCATGCATGCAAGGCAAGCGCTCTACCACTGAGCCACCTTCCCAGCCCCTGGTCTATTTTTTAAGTAGAATGGCTTAACATTTAAGTATTTCAATCATATGAATGTTGTTGATCAAGAATTAAATTGATGGACCAAAGAGGCGAAAACTATTTAGTAAGAAATTTTTATTTAAGATATTATTCTATTTTTTCTAGTAGATTCTGATTTAAATGATAATCATGAAGTATTAGAGATTACCAGGGTTTATTAAATCAAAGGAAAAAAATTAAAGATCATAGTTATCTATTAAAAATCTTTGCTGAAGGACTGAGGATACAGTACAGTGGTAGTGACACTGCTTAGCATGTTTGGACTTGAGATGATTACTAACACCACATAAGAAAAAGTGGAAGTGAAGGTGTGGCTCAAGTGGTAGAGCACCAGACTTGACAAGCAACAAAAGAAGATAAGAGAGAGCTCAAGGCACGGAGCTCAAGCCCCAATATCAGCAAAATATAAGTCATAAGTAAAAAGAGTCTTCTATGTGTGGCAAAATGACAGGAAACATTAAGACCATGACGTATCACTTCCGTAAGTATGTATACTTTACGGCGCTGGACATGTATGACATGCCTCCTTGTGATCTGGACAGCTGTTTTCACTCCTTCACTTAACTCTGTGGTGTGATGGGTAGAACCCAGGGCTGCCCACAGGCTCGGCACATGATCTATCACTCAGCTATGCTCCCAGCTTCTCGCTCAAATTCATTACACATACTTGTAAAATACAGTAGGAATCAATTTTTTCTTACACATTTTCTACTCGAACACGCTGATAATCAGAAAGTATGGCTCCTACTGATATCCCCTCTACATCTTCTTTTTCCTGAAGATAAAGAAAAAATACAACTTTTAAAAATACAAAGAAAACCATATATGGCTCTGCATCATGTTCTGAAAATTATAAATGAGCATATCCCATCTAAGAAGTCACAACTGAAGCAAAGTAATTTCCTGCAAATATAATCCACATCTACACATTTTAATATTTAATATTATCCTCAGCTTCAGGAAAATATTATTCTTTTTCTTAAAATTTAAGTAACTAGAGATTGCTTAACATGGAAAAGCTACTCAGAATTCCATTTAGAATTTCCAAATTCACACTTACATATATAACAAGTCAGATATCTAACTTAAATATCTTACATATCTAAGAAGTTAGATATTTCCTTTACATAGCTGAAGAAGTTCAATTTCTATTTAAGGGCAATATTTCTCCAGAATCAGCATCTTTTAAATTAAGTAATGGCACAAATACATAAAATACATAACACACCAGTTTTAATCTCCAGCTTAGAAAGAGGTAACAGATAGAAGATCATCCAGAAAGCACAGTTGATAAAGAACTTATCATAGGAACAATAACTATTATCCATACAGGTACAATTGAGAAGATCCAGCCGTATGTCCAGCACGGCCACATAGAGACGGTGCCTCTGTCCTGAATGCTCACTAATGAGCTGAAGAAAAAGTAAATTCAAGTATGTTCATAAAGTAAGGATGGGTTAAAAAGCAAAGATTAAGCTGGGCACCATTGGCTCACAGCTATAATCCTAGCTACTCAGCTGACTTGAGAGTTTAGGATCCTGGTTCAAAACCAGCCTGGGCAAAAAAGTTCTGGAGATTCTTATCTCCAATTTACCATCAGAAAGCTTAAAGTGGAGGTATGGTTTAAGTGGTAAAGCATTAGCCTTGAACAACAACAACAAAAAAAAAACAAAACAAAAACTCAGGGACAGTGCCCAAGTCCTGAGTTCATGCCCCAGTACTGGTACACACATGGGCATGTGCGCACACATACACGTACACAACAAGATCAATCAAGTACATGCATGGATATGGAGAGCTTGGGAATTTGGAAGGACAGTTCTGAGATGTAATGCAGAAATGTAAGGTAGTACACTCAGGGAAGAATACTACACAACATGGGCTTAAACCAGAGAGCTGTTGTCTACAGAATGGATGAAAAGGCAGTGACTGCTGGGCAGCGGTTCCCTGAACAGCAGTGAAAGAGAACCCATCCCATCTTATGGACATGCAGAAGAACTACTTCAGAGATGACTTGAGTATTGGTCTTACCAAACATGGACTGTGAATAAAAAAAAAAAAATTGTGTTTCATAGAAAACAGGCCTAGTTTCCACAGACACTGTGCCTAAAGGATAAACAAAAATGTACAACAGGAATTCCTAATACCTTTGGAAATAAAACCAATTTAAATTTTATGTCCACAATGAGAGGAATATCTATACAAACTGACCCCCAAATAAAATGATTGTTAGATAATATTTCAGGAAAAGATCTATTATCTTTATTTTGCAGCCTCAGCAACTTGGTAAGAACACTTACTTGTAACTTTTCCTAACTTTTTATAAAAGTCTCTGTAAGTCAATGGAATAAAAACAAGTCCCCATGTTCTTCATTAACTTCAAATGTATCATAGATCAGAACAGAATTCGTGCCACTATCCACAGCAGAAAGTTCATAGCACTGTTAGATATACTGAGTGGAACTCTGAATACAAACACAAGAGTGGTATGTAAGTTATCAGCACATACGTCCAGCCTCTGGGGAAAACAAGAACTTTAAGAAACAGGACACAGGGGTGAAGAGAAGGGGTACAAAACTCCAAAGGCACAACAACATTAAGGGAGAGGGAAAAGCAGACAAACTCAGCAAAGGCACTAGAGAAGTGGTAATGATAAAAGTAGGAGACAGCCACAATAAAGTAAGGGTGTGTGCACAGATGCAGAAAGAAGCCTGATGACAATCAAAGAATAAAGCAGTAATATTACCAGCTACCTATTACGACCTAGGTACTTTATCTTATCAGCCACTTATGAAATACAAATATTAAATTTATTCTTCTGTACATAAAAAAAAACAAGAGGGTTAACTAATTGGAGTTGTAGCAAGAAAGTAGAACACTCTTTTTGTCTTCCAGCCATGCCTGCCCTGTTCCTTCCACGTTACCATATGCTGTTGAAAGTTTCACAAAACCACTGAATTTTAAAACGAGAGGGTTGACTACAACCATCCATGGGGAGTTTGCCACTGTAACTGATGGAACAAAGGATACACATTTGAAGACAAAACTCATACACTGACAAATTCACCAAAGGATGAATGGCAAATCCCTGGGGAAACGAACATGACTAATTAATCATTTTTTGTTGTGTGTTTAATTATTAATTGGAACAATTAAATAATGTTGGTATAAAGTTGCTGTTTTCATTTGAAGAGTTTATATTGCTAAACTCAACAAAATTCAGAGAATTTGGATTACATTCTCCTTAAGACTAAAGGAGAACAAAATGAAAAAACAAATGTCATTAACAAGACATTGGAGTCAAAGACTGGACCCTAAATGGCCTAGTGTATTGCTAAGCAACAACAGCTATCAGACACAAATAGAAACTATTCAGCCTACACCATTATCACTATTAATGATGGATGTATGAGTATAACCTAGGATAAAGTCGAGTTGCTTCCCTGAGTAATAGCAGTGTATAATGCCATTAAACATTTATATGAGATACTGTTCACACAGGGCTCCCTGAGGTAGACTTTCATTATCATTCTCGTTTTTTTATAAATAAGGGACATAGAACATTCTTACAGAGTCAGCTATGACAAGATTTGAAAAGCAGATATCACAGGTTCATTTGCTGTTTAAAAGTCACTAACCCAATCTTTATCAAGGTAAAACACACCAGCAAGATAGTTAAAAAGCTAGTCCAGGCAATGGTCTGACTTACAATAACAATAGAGAGAGCACAAATAAACAAACTGATTAAAAACATAGCTTCCTGATTACTGCCATTTTCACACTTCCCTGTAGGCACAAGGCCATTTGTACTAAGCATTATTCAGACTGAGCTAATACATGAACATATGGATCCAAAGGCTAAATACAAATGATCAACCACATTTCTCATATTTAAATTGTTAATGCAGGAGAAAAGCCAAGATAATCTCTAGGTTTCTCCACTGAGGCTGGGAAACATTACAGAGCAACAGTTGAGTTTTACAAAAATAGGAGCATCTGTAGCCATGTATACACATGTACAGGCCGAACATGTAAATTTGGTCTGGACTTTATATTATAAAGAAATTCTTGGAAGTGGTGCTGTGGTTCAAGTGGTAGAGCGCTCGCCTTGAGCTGAAGAGCTGAGAGACAGCGCCCAGGCCCAGAGTTCAAGCCCCATGACCCCCCCCCCCCCCCAAAAAAAAAAAAAAGTCTTGGAAATTCTGGTCTGGTTTCGAACCCTAATCCACCAACCTATGCTTCCTAAATAGCATAGGGTGAGAAACTTGAGGCCCATGCCTGAGATAATCACTTAAAAACATGCACTCCAGATACTGAGCACTGAGAATTGTTGATCCTTTGTCCTTCTGGAGCCTATGACTATCGGTAACAGATGCACAACTGATGACAGCTGCCGCTCCTCCAGGCTGGTCCTCTATCACGTGTACCACAGCTATATTTTCAGATTTTTTCTGGTTGGTTGGAGATCAGAGTCTTATGGGCTTCCCTGCCTGAGCTGCTCTGAACTGCAATCCTCAGATCTCAGACTCCTAGGTAGCTGGGATTACAGGTGTGAGCCACCAGTGACTGGTTTATTACATTCTCTTTCATACAGGTTTATAGGCTAGGCATGGTAGTTGTAATCTTCACTATTCAGGAGGCAGAGATCAGGAGAACTGTGGTTCAAGGCAAGTCTGGGCAAAAATTTAGCAAAATACCATTTCAGCCAACCAGCCAGATGTGGTAATGTGTCCAAGTTACCCAAGCCACATGGGAAGCACAGGGAGGAAGACAGAAGACCGAGACTGGCCCAAAGCAAAGCAGGAGCCCCCATCTGGAGAGTAACTAGAGCCACAAACAAAGCAAAACTGATTTAAAAAAAAAACCCGCCTCTCTCTCCCTCTCTCTTTTTCTCTGTGTCTCTGTCTCTCTCTCACACACGCACACACAAAGTAAAACCTAACAAGAAGTTTCTAAAGAACCAATCTGGCTCTAAAAACATTAACTACTATCAACTACAAATGTATACATTTTAATTATCAATATCTACTAGTAGCTGAATGTGTGGTTAAACCTTTCTGTTATGCAAATAAAGTCCTAGTATACATTTAGTATTATTCTGATCACCAAAGCATATATAAACACAGAACAGTTTATTCAGGGTTTGTGATTTACTCTGAAGAATAACTAGCTACTCTAAACATCAGTGCACTGAAGTATCAGGAACACACACAGGACAGGATGGGTTTCCACTAGGAAAGGGACCTGACTCTTGTCTCTTCTCAGCACTTAAAGAGTGTAATAATGACAGATGATACTAGGGCTTAAAGGTACACACACATCGACAACCAAATTAAGGTTCTATTCACTCAACATTTACTTGCTGAATTCAGTACAGAAAGGTTGACTCAAAAAGCCAACAAAATAAACTGAAAAAAAAAAAAAAGATGTCCTTTTTCTATAAATGAAGAAGAGGCCTATTTATTCGAAAGAGAGTATGTGCAGCTTGCACTTATCAGAGATATTATTTTCTTTGAAAAATGCTTCAGATACCAGTATTATTCTGCTAATGAGATCCTGCCTGTTGAGAAAAAAAAAAGAAAACGATCTGCTGAATTTAAAGTGCTTTTCATCTGAAAGGCATTCTAACATTTTAATACGAACCATTCATTAAAGAAATGTGCTTGCACTGTAGTTCTGAGTGGCAATATTGGACTTCTGGCAACATGGTATTATTAAATAAGAAACACTTGTGAGTGGCAACGATGCTGTGGGAATGGATAACTGAGCTAAAGA